TTCGATATGAACCGATGAAGAGCTGCTACCCTTCCAGTCAACCTCTGTATGTCCTTCATTGACTTCGGCGGTTCCATCTCGGCAATTGCTCTGATCTTCTCTGGGTTGACCTCAATCCCTCTCTGGGAAACCATAAAACCCAGGAATTTTCCATATTCCACACCAAAGATGCATTTGGTTGGGTTTAACCTCATTCTATTCTGTCTAAGATTGTTGAATGTCTCCTCAAGATCGATTAAGTGATCGTCAGCTTTCAAACTCTTCACCACTATATCATCAACATAAACTTCCAGATTCCGTCCTATTTGAGCTCGGAATACGATGGTAACCATCTTCTGGTAAGTGGCGCCTGCATTCTTCAAGCCGAAGGGCATCATTACATAGCAATAAATCTCATCACCAGCATAAAACGAGGTTTTTTCTTCATCCTCAGGAGCCATTGGAACTTGGTGGTAGCCTGAGTATGCATCCAAGAGACTTAATCTCTCATTCCCCAAAACTGCCTCAACCAGCTTATCAATGTTTGGCATTGGATAACAATCCTTTGGACATGCATCGTTGAGGTTAGTGTAATCAATGCACATCCGCCATTTACCGTTTGCTTTTTTCACCAACACCGGATTGGCGACCCACTCGCAGTAATCGACCCTTCTGACAAAACCAGCTTGTAGGAGTTTCTCAACTTCTTCTTTAATGACCTGTAACCTTTCCCCCCCAAAGAGGCGTCGCTTCTGGGCTACTGGTTTCTTGAGGGGATTGGTGCTGAGTTTATGTTGAAAAACTAAAGTGGGAATTCCCGGCATGTCTGCTGAAGTCCATGCAAAAACATCTTTATTGGCCCGAAGAAAAGCTATTAGCTCTGCTCTTTCCTCTGGGTTCAATTTAGTCCCAATTTGCGTTTTCTGGCGCAGATCTCTGTCATCAATCTGCACCTTTTCTACATCTTCGACTGGAGCAGCTCTGGTTTCATCTTCTGGTCGGTTATCTACTATCTCAACACCCATAACTTGCCGATCATCAAGAATCCGTTTGGGATCAACCTCGGGTGTTTGAGTCTTGCCCTTCTGAGGTTGTGTTACCGAGGTGATATAGCAATGTTGGGCCACCTCCTAGTTGCCTCGCAGCGTTGCTATTCCCGTAGGAGTTGGGAACTTCATGCATAGATGAGATTGGGAAACCACAGCTCGAATTTCAGTCAGTGTGGGTCGACCAATGACGACATTGAATGAGGACGCCATCTTGACTACCAAAAACCTGACTGAGGGGGTCACATAACTTCGGCCACTACCAAATGCAACATTTATAGTGAGGACTCCTTCAACTGGAACTGGTTGGTTGTTAAACCCGTAAATGGGGCCATCATACCGCTGCAACAGAGCGGGATCTAACCCAAGACTCTCAAAACAATGGAAGTACATGATGTCTGGTGCACTCCCTGTGTCAACAAGGACACGCTGTACTTCACAATTGTTGATCGTGACAAAAGTAACTAGAGGATCATTGTGAGGTGTGACAACTGTTTCGAGATCAGCAAATGTGAAAGTGATGGGTTGATTCTTCCACTCAGCATCATCAAATTTTCGCTTCTGAGCTCGATTCTGGTGCTTAACCTCTCTGACATACAGCTTTCGCTGCTTAGAGCTCAGTCCACCGGCTTCCAGACCTCCCGTAATCATGTGTATTACTCTAGCTGGTGGTGGGAGTGGGGGTGGGGCTTGCTGATATCCCACACCTTGTCTGTTTAGGGGATTGCGGATTGCTTGATGCTGTGACCCTTGTTCTCTGACAAACCTTGGCTGTTCCACTCTCTGGATGTACTCATTCAACATTCCTTTCTGTACCAGACTTTCCAGTTCGGACCTCAGACTATTACATTGCTCTGTTGTATGACCGTGATCCTGATGAAAATCACAGTACCTAGTATGGTCTCTGGTAGCAGCAGCAGTTCTCATTGGACCCAGACGTCTTAAGTCCATCTTATTCTTAATCTGCATAAAGATTTGTGACCTCGGTAAATTAAAAGCAGTCCAATTAACTGGAGTTTTACCTGCAGGTTGTTGCGGAGGTGCTGAGTTCGGCCTTCCGAATCTTGGGGTCGACATCGGACCTCGGTTCTGTGTTGTCTTCATCCGTTTCCTGTTCGGATTCTCATCTCTCCAGTCCGGGTGTTGGCTCTTAGTAGGAGTTAGGTTCTGCGACAGGGTATATTCCTCAGCAGTTATGAATTTCAACGATCTATCATTTACCTCGCTAAAGGTGTTGGCAAGATGTTTGAGCAAACTATCTCGGAACCTCTCATGGCCAAGACCCGAGATCACCGCTGTAATTCCCACAGCTTGGTCGAAAGAATTAACCTCTAGCACTGCATCATTGAATCTGCTCATAAAATTCTTCAAAGACTCTCCGTCCCTCT